GTATGTCTGAAAATTGCTAAGAGTAGATTTTAAAAGTTCTCACCACACACACGAAAAATTTTAGCTATATAAAATGGTTAACTAACCTTACTGTGGTAATCATTTTGTAATATATACACATATAAAAGCACTATGTTGTATACCTTATATACTTACACAATGTTATATGTCGGTTATATCTCCATGAACCTGGAAAAATAAACATTCTACTTTTTCTAATTCTTCCATATAACATGCTCAACCACCTCTTTTCTCCTTTTCTTTAGACCATTTCAATAACCAAATGGCAGTGGGAATTGCTTTTCCTTTACCACAGAAATCTATATATCTATAAATATATTTATTATAGATAATATTATCCTATCTTTGCTTTGCCAAATAAATTTCCATTATGGAGCTTTTATTTATTTTTTAAAAGATTTTATTTATTCATGAAAGACAGAGAGAGAGAGAGAGGCAGAGAGAGAGAAAGGCAGAGGGAGAAGCAGGCTCCCAAGAAGCAGGGAGCCCTATGCAGGACTCGATCCCAGGACTCCAGGATCATGACCTGAGCCGAAGGCAGACGCTTAACCATGTGAGCCACCCAGGCGCCCCATTATGGAGCTTTTAAAAAATAATAATTCATGATCTATTTTTGCACATTTATCTTTGTGCTCTTTTCTGCATATGTATTATATCCCACAACAAAAATAGTTTAAAATTTTAATTTAAAAAATGCATTGATTGGTACACCAACATCTTTGAAGAACTCTGTGGTGGCTGTCATGTGTAAGTCATAGAATAATGTGATCCCAACATGATAAAGGCCAAAAAGACATGCCTAACTAGTGCCTAACTGCTTGAGATGGTAGGCACATTTACCACAACAAACCACAGGATGGTAACTGGGGTTTTTACATACGGGGATTTGGGAGAAGTTAAGGTCCTTTGAGGAGTGACTGACATAGCTCTGGTGTGTAGAATGAATCTTCCCCAAGCCTTTCCAGAGGGACCCATTTTCCGAGTGACAGCGCACTAGGGAAAGGGAAATACCCAGAGCTTCAGGAGTTATCAGATACTAGCTCCGACATCTGAATACCAAAGTTGTCCACCACTTAGAGGCTTATTATGGCAAATGACAGATGGAGCTCTGATCCAAGTCCATTTAATGGTGGATTCAAGGAGATCACAGACCCATTTTAGGTACAAGCATACTTGGGGTGCCTGGGTGGCTCAGTCGGTTAAGCATCTCACCCTTGATCTCAGCTCAGGTCTTGATCTCCTGGTCATGAGTTCAAGCCCCACGTTGGGCTCCATGCTGGGTGTGGAGCCTACCTTAAAAAAAAAAATGGGCACAGACATACTTCTGAAATATTGCAGGTTGGGTTCCAGACCACGGCAATAAAGTGAATAGCACAATAAGCAAGTCTGAAGAACTTTTTGGTTTCCTAGTGAATATGTTATGCTTACACTATACTATAGTTTATTAAGTGTGCAATAGTATTATGTATAAAAATGTTATATACCTTTATTAAAAATACTTTTTTTGCTAAAAAATGCTAACCATCTTCTGAGGTTTCAGCAAGCTGTAATAATTGATCACTGATTACCAAATATAATGAAAAAGTTTGAAATACTGTGAGAATTGCCAAAATGTGACAGAGACACAAAATGAGCAAACACTGTTGGAAAAATGGCACGGACAGACTTGCTTGCCACACAGTTGCCACAAATCTTAAATTTGTAAAAAACAACAACAAAAAACCCCTATCTGCAAAGTGCAAAAATACTAGTCATGCCTGTAATTTCCTCAGTCCCAAAAGGAAAGAGAGACATTTACTACCAGGCAAAATCTCCATATTGGTAACCTGACCCATGGAATGAGGGTGATTATGAAGTATGGGCCAAACAGAAGTCCCTGGAACGATCTCCAAGATAGTAAGTCAAAAGTCAAACAAACAAACAAAAAACCCACACTCTGGCAGGATCTGTAGATTGGTGCTGCCATCAAACTTGAATTATACAGGGGTGGGTGATTTCTTCCTCATCCCATTTACTCAACGTCTTGAGTCTTAGAAATTGATAGTAGTTTATTACAAATGCAATCAAATGGTACTGCTAAACTATGGTTCCAGATGTGGTATCTTTGTGGGATCAAAGCAACACAGTTCTTGGCCAATGCGGGGAAAAAAAAAAAAAGGATACACAATTTGGTGGGACTCTTGATTCTGGAGCCAACAGGTACAGTTTTTAGGAGTCCTGCTTCAACCAATTACACTGACCTATAAGGCAGCTGAGTGGGACCCGGACAGGAAATGGTTCTCAGCAGCCCAGGCTATGTGTGCACTCCTGCACCAGGCCTTAGGACTCAGCCAACCAAAAGCTATTAGAGCGTCTGTGGTAGACAAAGATGTATGGAGTCTCTGAAAACTCCAAATAAGAGAATTATAGCCTGAAGTTCTAGGGTTTTAGAAAAAGACCAATACCGCCCTCGACCAAAAAGTATTCCCCATCTGAAAAGCAACTCCTGGCTTGCTCTTGGGCACTGACACAAACTGAATTCCAGGACACCAAGTGACTTTAGACTCTAAGCTATCCGTTGTGAGATCCGCATTATTTGATCCACTGAACTATAAAATTGGATGTTCAGTGGCATTACATTGCATGATGGAAGTAGGCTGAAGGGGTCCAGACGGTCCAAGGAAAGGGTATGAGGAGGTGCCTCAGATGCCTGTGGCACCGGCTCCTACCATTCTGTCGATTTCCTGCCAATCCACACCTACAGCATCTGCAGAACCTGGAAATGTAGAGGAAAAGCCCCATCCTGGTTCCTGCTGGGTGTACATGCTATGGGGCCCCTGCCCTGCTGATCCACTCAGATGCCCCAAAAGACAGTGGTGAATAACCACCATTTCAGAGGGCTCCTCTGGCAGTCCGGGGTTGGGAGGCCTCATGTAGAAGGGGCGGGTGTCTGGGAGTCATTCTCTTCCTCCTTCATACATTCCACCCGATGTTCTTAGTCATTACTCAGTGACAGCCCCCCAGTGACAGATATGCCTTCTTTCCACGATCAGACCCATTTCAGAATAGACAAGTGACTATATAGTTTTTTTGTTCTTTTTAATTCAGAAAGAGAGAGAAAGGGAAGAAAATAAAAAACATTTGTTTAAATAACTATTGCAGAAAAGGAGATCTGGGCTGGATGCTGGGACCTACCTCTTCCAGAAAGGGGATTTATTAATGTTTTAAACAAAACAAAACAAAAAGAAGAAAAAGGAACAAAAGGAAATAAATTATTCTGCTCAATACTGTTTGGCATAATTGCATTGTTTTTTCATCTTCTAAACACTCCGAACAGCCTCTTCAGGAAGCACTGAGATGAGACTGGCAAGAATGGCTGGTGCCTTGACTTTCTAAAATGGTGGGGGAGGCCCTGAGAGAGGCATTCCACTATAGGCCCCCCCAAATCCACCCCCACTCTTTACTCCTGCTTTTGGAATTGGGAAGGTACAGACTCAAGCTAAGTTCTCAATATATTAACTTTCGGCATGCCCATTGCCCTGCCCCAATCCTCCTCTAATATACTCCCCTGCATTACTGTTCCCCCAGCCAGCTGCAGGAACTACACCAATGGCCAGGAGGCTGCTTGGTGGTATCAACTCACTAAGATAAAGGGTGGTATTTGTGTACCTCACTGTTGGGAAGGGGGATCCTATTAGTGGTTTGGAAGCTTCACAGAAGCCCTTTCCCCCCTCCGAAACTTCCTCAACCTCAAAGGGTGAGAATACCATCAGCAGCTTCCTCTAGGGACTTAAGCTGGGTTCAGTCATGCAAGTAACTTCTAGTTGTAACCCCTGTTTGTTAGCATCCCTGCCCTTCCAGAGCTGGAAATGGAAAATGGGTTAGAGCAAGGAGATAGGAAGTGAGCATGGGGGAGGGGATGCATGGGCAGGAGAGGAGGCATGCAGGTGGACAAGTCTACTCCTCCCCAGCTAGGATCCCAGCTATTTGCATGGCCAGCTTAGAATTTTAAAAGAATCTTTGTTGGTCAGCCATCCCTGGAAACCTCAAGTTAATTAAATTAGGAGACCAAAGCAAATTTCACCCCCAAGCAAGAGGTTTCCTACTCCTCTTTGGGGTGATGGGTGAAGGAAAAAGGTGCATGCACCAGGCAGCTGGGCTCCCCATCTCCAGGCTTCTTTCCTACGTGTTGCTTTCTCTCCCTAGAGCCGGCCAAAGACGCGCGAGTGGGGGTAGGGGGTGGAGAAGCAGCACTGCCCCCCCAACCCAGGGCAAGTTTTGATTTTTTTTTTTTTTTTCCAGTACAAACAGGCTGGTGAGGAGGCCCAGGACCAAGGGGGAAACACTAAAAATGTTGTGCGTGAACAGTAAGGGGCCGAGAGCACACGAGAGTGAGAAGCACCTTACATCTCAAGGGACGGGGCTTCCTTGTCCCCTGCCCTGTTCCTTACATCTGTGTTCCAGAGTTAGGCCCTGGGCGAATTCCGCCCCCTAGCAAGGGGGTGAATACAGTTCTAGTTTACTGGTGAGATGCTCAATGCCCTGGTCAGAAAGGCCATTCCATAGGGTGGCCAAAGGTGGGGATGGGGAGAAGAGAGGATGAGGGGGCCCACACGTCACTGCATTTCTTTGGTGGGTTTACACTCACCCATCTGGGCCTGACAGGTAAAAGAAATATGGGGTCCAAAATTCTCTGAGGCCTGAAGAGGTTTGAGAGGGCTCTAGCTTTTCCCCTGGGATGAAAGCGCGCTCCCTGGAAACCACCTGATCTCCCCTAGACCACCACAAACGAACCGCCAACGCCCCTCCGCCCACCCCGAGGTCACGAGGGACACCCGCCCCCCGGCCCCGGCAAAGGAAAGCCCAGCCGCCGCTGCCCCGCACCTTCCCCACCGTTTCCTCCTCGGTGCCCCCGGCCGAGTAAGGCCGACAGGCGACTGACGCTCCTCCTGCAGAGCCTGAGGAAAGTACTTCGCTGAGGTCGGAAACAACCACACTACTCCTTAAAAAGCATGAAATAAAATCCTACCCAAAGCATAGGGGAGTGGGGATTCAGCGGCCGCCGGCCCGCCTCCGAAGGCCATTGATTGGAGGAGACGGGACCCGGCGCCGGAAGTTCTCCTTGAGTCGCATGATTGGTTGGGAGAGTCTCCGCTCCGACTGCAGCGCTGATTGGGTGCCAGGCCCGGACCAGCCCCCATGTCTCTTGATTGGCGAGGGCCAGCCGGCGCTCGCTGGACTTGCAGCATGATTGGTCCAGACCGCGGCCTGGCGCCGCTCCCAAGGCCTGGAGACGCCCAACCGGGCGCCGCGCCCTCCCCGAGGCCACCGCCCTCGGGCTGGCCGGGAGTCCCGGCTGGAAGCGCGCGCCGCCGCCTCGCGGCTGGGCCGGAAGGGTCGCGGCTGGGCCGGAAGGGTCGCGGCGAGGCCGGGCTCAGTTGCCTCGGTAGACCTCGATCTTGCTGGCCTTGGCCAGCATGTCGATGATGTGGGCCTCGAAGTCGGCGTCGTGCACTCCCGTCTTCCGGAACTCGCCCGCGTACCGGTTATTCTCCCAGTAGTGGTGCCAGTTGCCCCGGCTGTCGGCCCCGAACCCGTACACGTTCACCTGCAGGGGAGGGCGGCGCACGTCACCCCGCGTCGGGGACCGGGAGAGCCTCGGGTCGTTGGTGGGCTAGGACAACGGGGCCGCGGCGACCCGACGGCAGCCGGTTCGCAGAGCTCGGGAGGCACCGGGAAGACGGGACACCCAGGCCAGGAGCTGAGGACCCTCTCCGGTGAAGACCTAATCCCTTCCGGTTCTTCCGCCTGTCTCCCTGCAGCCGGACGCTTCAGTCTAGGGCTAGGACAGCTCTCAACCCTTGCTACCGTCCCTTTTGGTTTTGGTTTTGTGGCTGCTGTTGTCGTTTTGTAATGGAATACTTTCAGTGTTCCAGGTCCACACACTTAATTTACTGGCGGAAGTAGGTGTGGTGGGCGTGAGCACTGCCCAGCATGGCACAGCCGCCCGGCTTGCTAGTGAGAAGCGGCCCCTTGAACACACACACAGCAGGCTTAGCGCCGCCCACCGCTGAGGGAGAAGACCATCCGCTGGAACTTAACTACATTGTTTCCTTTCTAAATATATTTTTGATTACTTTTTTTTTCTTTATGGCAAGTAATAACCAATTATGGTAGTAGGAGTCTATTTCCTTTTTAAATAAATTTAACTTTTCACTGAAGTGATTTCAGATTTGGTAAAATGAACGTAAATGACTTTGGGAAATGAAGATGTATACTTTACAGCCTAGAAATGGGGGAAATCAGAGCCACTTGGTTTCTGTCTACAAAAACGCATCCCTCTTGCTCTGCTAAGCCCTAAGAAGGGCTGACTCCCTCTGCTCCATGGGTATCCCTATTTTACCCCTAACACTGGGCTACCCACCTCATCACACACATGCAGGGCAAAGAAGAGCACAAGCATCCCTGTGGAAGGGTACCGCCCGTGATGCTCTGTCCACCGGTCGTGGATGTACTTGAAGAAGGCTGGGTTATAGATCTGAACCTGGGAGGAGAAAAGGGAACAGACACATGAGGGGCTTTGGGGGCCTGGAGACTCAGGTCAGTCTCTGAAAAGCTTCTGCCAGTTCCTCCATGCTTGCCAGCAGACCTGTTCGTCCATGTTCCCTGGTTCCTATGGGCTCTGAGGGGGTCAGGCATACCAGCAGATGGGGGAGGGGATACTCTGAAGGTTCTGGAAGGGCACTGGGGGACACCTGAGCCACTGGAACAGGCACACCATGAGTCAAGTCTGCACTGTTTCCAATGACATGGGGATGAAGAAGGGGGAGGAAGAGGGAGCTTACCTTTTCTTTGTCCACTCGAAGGAAGGACTTGACTGGCGCATAGGTGCTTCAAGTAGAAACAAAACAAAACAAAACAAAACATTTAGATGGCCCCTGGGATCTAGAAAGGCCCAGAGATGCCTTTCTTCCCTCACAGGCCTAAGTGATGACAACCTTACAACAGATCCCCTGCCTCCGAACCGCTTCCACAGCACATCACTGCAGTACCTTGCTCAGAAACCTTCAGAAGCTACCCATGTCCTTCAGGAGAAAATGAGGATGTGTTTTAGACAAACACTGGGGCCTTCCATTATCCAACCCCAACTTTTCTTTCCACAACACTCAGCTGTGAACTCCCCACTCGATTTAGCCAATCATTTCACACCCACTATGTGTCTTCTGCCCACGATGACCCTTTCAATACTATACTCACATTTGGCACAAATCCCTCCTTCCCTATTAGCCAGCCATGGTACCTATAATCTACACTCTTTTTCTAAGTATTATGGGACTTAAATTCAACAGCACTTATTTTAGCCCTTATGTCTCCCAAACATAAGATGTCTAAGAAACTGTAACCTATACTTCTGTATTTAAAAAAAGATGTGGTGTGGCGCCTGGGTGGCTCAGTTGGTTGAGTGTCTGACCCTGGCTCCGGTCATGATCTCAGGGTCCTAGGATCCAGCCCCATATCAGGCTCTGTGTTCAGCAGGGAGTCTACTTGTACCACCCCCCCAATTCCACCACTGCTCATGCTCTGTCTCTCTCAAACAAAATCTTTAAAAAAAAAAAAAATGTGATGGCGGGGGCGTCTGGGTGGTGCAGTTGGTTAAGTGTCTCTCAGTTTCAGCTCAGGTTGTGATCTCAGGATCGTGAGATTGAGCCCTGTGTCAGGTTCTCATTCAGCTCAGAGTCTGCTTGAGTTTCTCTTTCCCTCTCCTTCTGCCCCTCCCACTTGTGCTCTCTCTCGCTAATAAATAAATCTTTTTAAAAAAGATTTAAAAAATGTGGTGACAGCAGGTAAAAGGTGAAACAGCCTAACTGTCCACTGATGGGCGAATGGATAAATAAAATATGATATAGCCATATAATGGAATACTATCCAGCTTTTAAAAGGAATGAAATCCTGTACATGCTACAACATGGATAAACCCTAAAAACATTATGCTAAGTGAAATAAGCCAGACACAAAAGGACAAACGATATGATTCCACTTACATGAAGTACTTAAAACAGTCAGATCATAGAGACAGAAAGACTAGTGGTTATCAGGGGCCTAGGGAGTGGGGGAGATAGGGAATTATTGTTTAATGGGTACAATTTCCATCTGAAATTGTGAAGAAGTTCTGAAGATGGATAGGGTGATGTTTGCACAACAAAGTAAATGTACTTAATGCTACAGAACTGTGTGGTTAAAATACATTTTATGTTATATACAGTTTTTTGGCTTATTTATAATTTTGGTGGAGGATGTGGGCAGTGGCCTGAGAAAGTTAATTTTTACTTATTTTTCCATTTTTAAGTAACCTCTACATCCAACTTGGAGCTTGAACTCATGACCCCGAGATCAAGAGTCACATGCTCCACTGACTGAGCCAGCCAAGTGCCCCATATGTTATAAACATTTTCACACACACACACACACACACACACACACACACACAGTGAGACAGTGGGTTAGTGGTTGTTGCCTACGGCTGGAGGGTGGGGATGGAGGGAGTGAGGGTGATGGCTAAGGGATACAGAGGTATCTTTATTTTTTTTTTTTATTCATTTGAAACAGAGATAGAGAGAGAGAGAGAGCATGAGCAGGGGGAGAGGCAGAGGGAGAGGGAGAAGCAGGCTCCCTGCTGAGCCAGGAGCCCGATGTGGGGCTCGATCCCAGGACCCTGGGATCATGACTTGAGCCGAAGGCAGACGCTTAACCATCTGAGCCACCCAGGCACCCCCAGAGGTATCTTTAGATCTTTAATCTTCATCTTTAAGAAGATGAAAGAGTTCTAAAATAATTTCTGATGGTGACACAGCACTGTATTCAATAAAAGCCACTGACTTGTATACTTTAAATGTGTGAACTGTATAGCATGTGAATTATATCTCAATAAAGCTGTTAAAAAAAAATACTTGGTGATGAGGGGTGCCTGGGTGGCTCAGATGGTTAAGCGTCTGCCTTCGGCTTAGGTCATGATCCCAGGGTCCGGGGATCGAGCCCCGCATTGGGCTCCCTGCTAGGCAGGGAGCCTGCTTCTCCCTCTGCCTCTCTCTCTCTGACTCTCATGAATAAATAAATAAAACATTTAAAAAAAATACTTGGTGATGAAACTAATATGTGAGCCAACTATACTTCAATTAAAAAAAAAAAGAAAGAAAGAAAAATACTTGGCAATTGAATTTCCCAAGGTTCCTAGCAACTGCCTCTAAAGAAAAACTCTCAGAAGGCAGAGGTCCCACAGTCAGGAGCCACCTCCTGGAAAGGAGACCAAAACCTTTCCCCCCTTTCTACCACCAGTATGCTGGCTGTCACTATGCAGGAAGTGACACTGAACAGGCTGTGGCCTCAGCTGGCCCATCATTTTGGGCCTTCCCTACAATGGCCTCCCTCTTCACCAGCCCCTCTTAGTCAAAATACTCTGTTAAAAGAATTTTAAGAGCCACTTCCTGGGAAAAGTCCTCTCAAAATGCTCCTGTTACCCATATTCCCCTCCCAGTCAGCAGAGTGACTTACAATCGGATCTGCCCTGTGGACAAAGCGCTGGCAATCCATAGTAGGTCCAGGGCTTTGAAGGGCACCAACACGAAGCTGACGTTGGCGGGCAGGTTCTTGGCACTCTCTGGGTACATGAAATGGTGGGTGGTTCGGCTGCCAACATCCTGCTCAAAGCCCACGGTTGGCGCCTGATTCATCCTGCAGGGACAAGAGAGGGACATGAGAAGAAGCCACCATGGAAACCGGTGCAAGATTTTTAGAGGACAGTTTGGTGCCAGCCATCAAAAATGTAAATGGGCGTACACTTTGACCTAGCAATTCCATTTCTAGATGTCCTACAGAAATGGTTGCCTAAGTCTACAAAGACATGTGCACAAAGATATTCACTGCGTTATTTTTTTACAGTCGTGAAAAGGAGAATCAATTTAACAATAAAGAAGTGGTCAGTACATTTTTGGCACACTCACATATGGAATACCACAAAGCCACGAGAATGAATGAAGCAGATTTACATGGGCCGGTAAAAAATAAGCCCAGTGAAAAAATCCACGTGGTGTGAGGTATCTGTCCCACTGCTTTCCTTTTAATGTATATCTTTTGAATACTGCTATGTGCTGCAGGAGGGAATTAACAAGACACAAAAGGAAAACTTAAAACTACATAGTGTGAATCCATTTTTTGTAAAAACAGAAAAAGGAGGCAGAGAGAGAAAGGAAGAAGGAAGAAAGGAAAACATACTTTTGTATATGAATGTAACAAAATCTGGAAGAGTATTAAAATTGGTAACAAAGTTTACTCTTGGGAAATGGGATGGGGAGGGATACTTCATCTTTCAGTGTATACATTTCTGGGGGTTTTTCCCCCCAATAACCAGCACATATTACTCTTAGGCTTTTTTTTTTTTTTTTTAAAGAAAAGAACAGACTTCTACAGCTTCAACCTTACCTGGCTGTTCTGTCCACTTTCCTAAAAGACCCTGGAAGCACGGTAAGAAGCTGAAGCATTCCCTCAGCTCCTGGGCCAGACGGCAGCCTCTATGCCACCAGCCCTAGCCCCTCTGTCCCTGTACTTCAGCTTCTTATCTACCTTTCTGTTCCAAGGCCAAGAGGGATGCTCCAAGTTCTGACAGCACCCACCTCGGCTGTCCCCTGGTGATGTGCAGTGTGGCTCTGTCTCTCCCGTGCTGCCATGGCAGAACTCAGAAACCTAGAGCGGGCTTGCTACCCTCCTGAGCATAACAAGCCGAGAAGCCTTCTACTTCCTTTCAACTGGTGCAAAACGTAGGATCAATAAAATCAAGGCTCCCTCTTTTGGTGAACATCTTCAAAGCAGGTGATCCAGCTTTGAACATAAACCTGTCGGTCTCTTCTGCTGTGACTATTCATGAGAACATTCCTGTCTTGCGTGGACCACCTTGCAGAATCATGATTACCCAGGAAGGTGACCATAACCTTGCCTTCCAATGGGGACAAAGGGACCTGGGAGAGAGGGAGCAAAGTCTCCATGTGTTTTCTTTGCTTTTTACGCCTATTCTGTGAAACCGGTATGAACATTACGTGTCCTTACAGTGGTGGCACCACTAGCTGGGCTTGGTGAAGACCTCCTGGGGCTCCCATTGATGGCACGACGCAGTGAGAGCATGTCCAGGATGCCCCACCACCACCGGTCATATTGCTGACCTCCTACCTCTCTGCTTCCCTTCCCTTCAGGGACTGGAGACTGTTTGGGCTGGGAAGCCATAAAGCCTGAGAGTGGCCTGATTTGGAACTAGAGGGTGAATCTTTGTTCTTGGTCACTTCTGTTCTGGTCTGGTTCAAGCAGAAGCCTAGAATCTTCCCTATAGGACCAACTGTCCTCTGGCCTCCATTTCTTTAGGTTAACTGCCCCTTTACCTCCTGTCTGGGTGCCCCTCTGTTGTCCTGGTCTTTAGAGTTCAGAGATACTGTCTCTTAGAAGAGCCTAGAAGTATCTTTTCCCATGTAGTAATAACCATTGGCTGGGGCTCTTATAGCTGTGCACACAGCCTAGTGTGTCCTGAGGTCACCATAGCTACAGTGTGGATCTGTATTCTGCCACATCAGCCCTGGGGTCTTTGAGGAACAGAGCAGTTTGGAGAGAAAGCCTTAACGGGGACAGTGTTTCTCAGCTGCCTGGGGTACGTAAGAGGGTAGCAGGAGGCGGAAGACTTGGGTGGGTGACACTCAAGTTGGCTGGGGCCTGGACTGGGCAGGACTTGGGGTCAAGGTTCACTTTGGTGAGTACCTAAGAAACAAACCATGCCACCTGACATGGAGAGGCCAAACTGTTCCCACAGATCAAAGGGCTGCAGGTGCCCCAGGTTGGCCCCTGAAGACACCCACCTGTCCCCATCTGCCTTTTCCCCTGCATCTGCAGCCACAGTTCTGACAAAGTCCCTTCTTAGACCTGTCAGGCACAATCACTGCCTCCACCTCCCTCGGGTCCCTACCACTTGCTGGGCAGGCATCAGCTTTCAAAAGTCTGGGAATGAATGGAGAAAGAGGTCCAAAAAGATGTTTCAGAACCTCCAAGGTAGAGGGTAGGCACAGGGCATGCTTTTGAGGACAGGATTTTGTGTTGAGGCTCTGATTCATTCTGGAGAAGCCAAGCCCTGAAAGCCAGGGCCAGAGCAGGATGGAAGATGAACTACATCTCCATGACTCAGGAGAAAAGCATTCTACGATTCTATCTGTTCCTGGTTGCCTCCACCCGCCAAAGAAGCACCTGAGGGCAGAGGCACGGGAGGGGTGGATGTGAATTCGTGCTTCGGGTTTGGTATCTGGTCACCTAGTCTCTTCCATTCATTCATGTATTTACAGTGAGCCTACAATCTGCCAGGTGCTTGTTTTAGGAGTTGTGGATCTATCTGCTGGCTGGCCAAGGCAGGACCAGTCCAACTCCATTTGGAGTTGCCAGCAGGGCTCAGAACACACATAGGAGGAGGAGGGAGCTGGGGAGTGGCGTAGGGAAATATGGGTAGAGCCATCATTTCACTATAACCCAGCTTATATTGGTCCTGCTTCCAGGGAGCAGGGAGGCCTCCCCACTGGTTCCAAAACCAAGACACGCCTATCAGCAAAGAATCACCTCCACTGCCATCTAGCTCTTTGTACAGATCAGCAAAAAGCCAATTCAATCTGGGTCAGCCCTTCCACAAAGCAATTCTGGGGTCCACTCCAAAACGCACATCTCTGAACCTGGTCTGGGTAAGGGAACCTCTGTAAATTCCTCTCTGCAGCCTGGCCTGACCAGGGACCACCCGGGTGTCATAGGAGCCCAGCCTTTTTGTCTGCTTCCACTCTGGAGCTTCCCAACCAGCACCGACCAACATGCACAATGAAAGCACCCATTTGGTACAGGTGGCAGGGCCGGCAGGAGCTTCAGGCACTCCACAGCATTTCCCTGGGCTTCCCAAATGTCCCAGGGCTGCAGAGAATTGATGGATTTCTCATTCCCCACTCACAGCCACTGTGTCTGGGTGGAGAGCTCCCTCTCCAGCAACCAGCTTGCCTCCCTTACATTCAGAGTGCCAGCAATGGGAGGATGGGAAGAAGCTCAGGTGGCTCTGGGTTCCTGGATGAGGCCTAGCCTCCCTCCTCTCTCCCCACCCCCCACCATTCTCAACATGAGAAAGGTTTTGCAAGGAACGTTGAAAGCCTCAGAGACATACTGCTGCCTTGGTGTTGCCATGGAAACAGCAACAGTTTCTAAGACAAAGCCCTTCCTTCTGCCTCCTGGGGAACCTGGTCTTTCTGCAATGCTGATCCTAAGAGATGCTTAGTGAAAACTGGGCGTTTTCAGCATCTTCACTCTTAAGGCCCTTCTTCCACCAAGGAGTGGGATGGAAGTATCCCCACTGGCGTTTCCTGTCCCCAAGTCAGGGAGGAAGTCAGAAAACACTGGTTCAGGAGCAGAATGAGCAGCCCATGTTCAAGTTATAAGTCTACCATCTAGGGGCACCTGAGTGGTTCAGTCAGTTAAGTGCCCGGCTCTTGATCTCAGCTCAGGTCTTAATCTCAGGGTCATAAGTTCAAGCCCTGTGTTGGGCTCCACGCTAGCCATGGAACCTACTTAAAAAAACAAAACAAAACAAAAAACAAGTCCACCATCTAGTCCCTGTTCACCTCCCGGCTCATAGCTCTGTGTCTTTGAAATGAATACCCCCCCAACCGCTCTCCTTTCCTCAAGGCTGGACACAGACGTCTGTTAAATGAATTTGCCCCCATATAATCTAAACCTTATGAAATAAAGGTAAGGGACAGCAACCCAGAGCAAGCACTGAGCAATTCCTTTTCCTGCCCAGGACCTCTGTCTTCCGTGAGTCTGCCAGAAGGAATCATCTGTGGCTATTTATCAAGACACTAGTGTAGGGCCCTCACTCTTGGCCCAGCACTGAGGGGATCGGGCAGGTGGAAGGACCTCTGGGGGTTGTTTTCACCAGAAAAGAGCCAGGACTCTACTCTCAGCTCTTTTAGGAGGAGTTCAGAGCTAGAAACTGAGTGCTGGCCTCAAGCAGAGCATAGAATGGGAATTCTGCCTCCCCATCTACCCAACAAACGAGAGAGACCTGAGTCTTTACAGAAGGTTCTGGCATCAGAGACTCATAGCAGCGGACAACTCCTCCACTGGCCGACAAGGCTAAGGAGGCCAGTCCCTCCTTCCGGAGGCCTGTGCTGGGCCCATCCTTGGGCTCTCCGGGGCTCACCTCATGATGAAGTTGTGCCCATCCACATCTGGACCATAGCCAGAGCCCCGCAGGTTGCCTGAGTTCCCCACCACTGCGCAGCGCCGGCACTGGTGGGGGTCCCGGAAACGGTATGGGTTCTCGCCTGGTACTATCTGGAACAGCTTCTCCAGCACCTCGTTGGTGTTGTGTGACTTGAACTGGGGCTGCAGCATCTGTGGACATGAGGGGAGAAGGAAGGAGCGGGGATTATGCAAGCAGGGAGGGATTCTGGCCTGCCTGCCTGCCCTCACCCTCCAGTCTCAGTCAGGGAGAGAAATTCTCTCTCAGCAGCGAGGATGTTCCCCTTCTCCAGCAACAGCAATGTCCCTTTCTGAGACTGGTGCCCTGCTCATCAGGGGCACTCTAATGCACTGGGGCGGGGGTGGGCTCCGGGGCCAAGGGTTACTGCAAAGCAAAGAAACTTCTTGGGCTTGTCATGCCTGCAGAGGCCCCTGCTTTTCAGTCCTCTCAGTGAAGCTATGAGTCCCATGAAGAGTCATTCTGAGGTGCGGTTAATGTGGAAAACCCTGTGAAGTTCAGGGGCTCATTCCTAACCAGCCTACAGAGGGCGCCCCTGGGAATGAGCTGGAGGCCTCAGAGTTACAAAAGCTGCAGCTGAGGCAATATCCATGGGATATCGGGAGCCACCCCCTGAGCCCTGGGGAGAAGGAGGGAAGGCAGCAACGATGTATAGGAATTCTTTCAAAGTCAGAATGGCTGGAATGAAACTTGTTCCCTGTGCTTCCCACCACCAGTGACCGCGAAAGACTATGACATGAGGCTGGGGCAGCCTACGCACCAGGCAAGCAAAGATCAGAGTGAGGTGGCAGATGGAGCCCATGGCAAACAGGAGGCCCCAGCAAAAATGAGAGCCATCAGCCAACTGTTGCCATGTGGTATTGTGAGCCTAAAAGGAGCAAATTTTCCATTTTTTTTTTTTTGAGAAGCTGAAAATATAGATTTCACGTGAAATGTCCCGATTCCTAATTGTTGGTAATGATTGCAAATATTTTAAAAATACTGAGAACAGGGGTGCCTGGGTGGCTGAGTAGGTTGAGTGGCCGACTTGATTTCAGCTCAGGTCATGATTTCAGGGCCCTGGGATTGAGCCCCATGTCGGGTTCTGTGCTAGACTTAGAGTCTACCCCAGATTCTCTCTCTTCTTTTCCCTCCTCCCTTCTGCCTGCTCGTGCACTCTCTCTAAATAAATAAATAAATGAAATCTTTTAAAAATTTTTTTAAAAAATTGAACAGACTGGACTTGGCCCACAGGCCGCAAATCAGTAAGGTAGAAACTAGGGCTTTAATATGCCCTGTGGGGGGGTGCCTGAGTGGCTCAGTTAAGAATCTGGCTCTTGGGGGCGCGTGGGTGGCTCAGTTGGTTGGGCGACTGCCTTCGGCTCAGGTCATGATCCTGGAGTCCCGGGATTGAGTCCCGCATCGGGCTCCCTGCTCAGCGGGGAGTCTGCTTCTCCCTCTCACCCTCTTCCCTCTCGTGCGATCTCTCATTCTCTCTCTCTCAAATAAATAAATAAAATCTTTAAAAAAATTAAAAAAAAAAAGAATCTGGCTCTTGGTTTCCACTCAGGTCATGATCTCAGGGTTGTGAGATTGAGCCCCACGCGGGGCTCTGCGCTGGGTGTGGAGCCTGCTTAAGATTCAGTCTCCCTCTGCCCCTTCCCCACCCTCTCTTAAAAGAAAATGCTCTGTGGTCTGAGCTGTAACATGGCGGTTATGACTAAGCAGCAGCGGCTCAGGGGACAGAATAAATGAAAGAGATGGGGTAGGCATGCTTCTCTGCCTCTTCTCTGAGCAAAGAAAAAGCTCCTAAGAACAAGAACACAAACTGAGTGTGGAAGGGAAGCTTGGCTCTGAGACAAGAATTTCTAAGTTCACAGCAAAACGGGGTGACTGTGGGGAGCAGGAGAGTGGCTTCTGCTGTGTCTTGGCCAAGGGACATGCTTGGTGCTTAAACTGCCCTGAGTTCTATTCCTAAGGGAAGAAGGAGGCTTGGCATATCCATGGGTCTGCCTCTGCCTAGAGTCCTGTTCTGGCTCTAGATGGCCACCACAGAGACCTATGACCTTCGGCAAGCCCTGTGCACTATCTGAACCTTGATTTTCCCACAAAATGAAGGATGTGACTATGATTAACAGGCAGAACTCTTCAAGGGTTCCAGGCTGTCACAGGATTGGCCTGTGGGGCTCCTGGTGACCCTTGCTCTGTAGACCTCCCCATTCTTAGGGACTTGGACAGTGTGGGTCAGGAAGCGAGATCTGTAAGTTGTTCTGGTAAGCCTGATCGCGTGAGTTCTTCCTTACTGCTTCCCTGAATGTGAGAAAAAGAGGGACTCGTCATCCTCCCCACTTGCCAGCTGGGGAAACCAGGAGCCATGCGCTGCCTCCCAAGTCCCCCAGTGGGGAATGCAGGCAGCCTATGGGCCCCTGGGCTAAGTACTGACACTGTTCCATCTGATACGTGTGGCAACCGGATGGCCCTGGTAGAGCTTGGGGAGTGACACTCAGAGATGACAGGGATGAAAGGGAATTAAAAGTAGCAGAAAGGTGACAGGATCCAGAAGAGTGGGAAGGCTTCGACACACCTGTCCCGTCATCCCCTCCCCTTCATCTCCCTTATCACTCAGAGGAACTGACCATGTTTTCTTATCCCCAGCTCAGAAGAAAGTCTTTGCCAGCAACTGTAAAAAAAACCAAGTGAGCGGCCCTCATGGTGTTTAAAATTATTGTGAGCCAACATTTACAAATTAGGATAGTTATAAAAAAAAAACACAAAAAACAAAAAACGTGGACTTCCAGGTTCTCTTAAAGGGTCAGAAGATGCAGGAGTGATGGGTCACATCCCTGCAAGGGCAGCAGCTGCCGAAACTAAGAGGGGCTGCCTCCTTCATAAAGGGCAGACCCTCTCCCTGCAACGGTCCTGACCTCTCATCCTCCTCCTTGGGGCCTGTTCCTCCTGTGGGACCTCCCTGGCCAACTAGGCGTTTCTGCGCTCTGCTTGGCCCCTTATAGGCACTAGAAAATAGTTGTCCCTCCTTCCAGGCCAAAGCTTGCTCTGCCTTTCAGAATCTATGTCCCTAGTAGATGGCTCTGGTCAAATGGACCTAATACTTTGTCAAGGCTCTGGGGGCCCGAAGACAGGCAGCCCAAATCCTGGGGCTAGGTGGGGTGGGGGGCTTGAAGAGTGACTCCCAAACAGGGGGACAGACCCCTGGAGAGGGGGCAGCAAAGGGGAGGCAGGAGGGGCTGGAGCTCTCACCATCCACCACCTCTGGACATCTGGAGGCAGATCCATGTTCTCTCGGGTCCACACGGGGGAAATGTTGCTGTTGAAGTGGCTATCAAACCAGTCGGAGGTGCCAGCGTCACTCATGCAGCGGCGGCAGGCACAGCTCTTGCTGGTGAGCCCCTCCTTGCTGAGGCGCTGCAGGCCAGCATAGCCAGGCACCAGCTTCACCCGGTGGGTCCCGCCCAGGGCCCCCGAGTCCAGGTAGGGCAAGGTGGCCATGCTGTGGTGGGAGTAGGTGAAGAGCAGTGACATGATGAACACCAGCAGGAAGGCCACGGAGAGGAACCACACCCGCAGGGAACACTTCATGGTTTGGCGCCCCGAAGGGGCTAGACCACCAGCCTGGTGGGCGGGTGGGTGTCACCGTGGCCACTCCTTTCCCAGCCCACGGAAGGGCCAGCCACAGCGTAGCCTGCTTCTTCTGGCACCACGTGCAAAGGGCATAGGGACACGTGCTGAGGAGGGGACAGAGGCAGGGGTCCCTTACCACACCCTCCCTCAACGTAAGGAGGAAGCACAGTAGGCTGCAGTGGCTCCCCTGTCCCTGAGCCACTCAGGTGCCGGCTTATGGCTTCATCGGGTCTCTCTGTCACTAGCTGGGCCACAGAGGCTCTGACTCTCCCACTGCCCTGGCGAGGGGGAGGTCAGTCCATCCCAGCCCTCTAGTCCCTTGGGGTTGCTGGCTGCCAGCTCTGGGGGGCCCCCTCTTTGGCGGCTCGAAATGGTCCAGTCTGGAGCATTCGGGGTCCTTGTGGTTCATGAGCAGACACGGAGGCGGCCCCTCGTCCCCTGCAGTGGGGAAGCCCTCGAACCCCAATCACAGCAGAGAGCACATGGGCTTCAAGTGGCCTGGATTCCATCCGAGAGTCGTCCCCACCTCAGTTGGCCCTCCTGGCCCAACCCCTCCACCACAGGAGGGAACAAGGCCCCAGTCCTGAGAGAAGAGACCCAAGAAGTTCTGTGGGTGTCCGAAAACTCTGCTGCGAGACCAAGATCCTCCTTGCACTAGGTTCTGCCCTTCCGCTTCCCATTCGAGGTGCTGGTCCCTTCTCCGGACGGTCACAGCCCCAAATGTGGTTGCAGAGGGGTTCGCAGAGCTCCTGCTCCTGCTGTGAGGTCCTCCGGGGCCTGGGCACAGCGGCTGCTCAGCAGGGACCTGCTTCGAATGCTGTCTGGGTCAGCTTAGCGTGTGCCGAGCTCCCTGCCAGGGCCCAGCCCTCCTTGGTGCCACTGGCCCAGCCTCGCAGGCAGGCTGCTCTGCCCATCCCCACTCCCCTGAGGCCTGCTATCCTCCTGCTGGTAGCTCGTGCTCACAGTAATCCCCTGGCAGGTTCCCCCTCACTCGTCAGGCGCCAGGCTGCCGCAGCATGACCCTGAAATTGCAGAGGAAAAGTAATGTGCAGATAAATTGCACACACACACGTTCTCCCCCCCCAAGTCCCGCCCCCAAGTCCCAGAAGGGACAAAGCTAGGAGTAGAGGAGACGCCCACTTAACCAAAGGGTGGACGAAAGAAAGGGCTTTCCCCTCTACCCACTCACAGACAGCTCTCAAGGACTGCAGAGAAAGACATTAGCTTGCTCTCTCACTTATTAGCGAGAAGGTATACAAGGACATAAAGTGATTTCCCTGGAGTCCATGGTGACTCACTGGAAGAACCAGGTTTAGAAAGTTCCTTGTCCATCTATGGGGTGCCTGGGTGGCTCAGTCGTTAAGCGTCTGCCTTCGGCTCAGGTCATGATCCCAGGGTGCTGGGATCGAGCCCCGCATCAGGCTCCCTGCTCGGCAGAAGCCTGCTTCTCCCTCTCCACTCCCCCTGCTTGTGTTCCCTCTCTCGCTGCGTCTCTGTCAAATAAATAAAATCTTTAAAAAAAAAAGAAAAGAAAGTTCCTTGTCCATCTATGTGAGGTTAATTTCAGGTGAAACTGAAAACGGCCCAGAGGAAAGATTACAGGAGATTGCATATATGACTCCCCCCTCTACCCTCTGAGTACCTGTGACAAGCTCCTCTGAGCAAGAGACAGGTTGGTGGGGGAGGGCTGGGCCTCTGCCCTGGGATTTGCCCCCTCCTCTCCTGGGTGTGGGCTCTAGATGAGGCATTAGCTCAGTGAACCATTAACAATCCTTCCAACTCTGGTACCAGGGAGAGAACCTAACTGCGTCAGGATGCAGAGGTGCTGGGCTCAGCGCCCCTAACATACAGCTGTCTGGGCAGTTGCCTTCATCTGTATGTTATGGATGAGATGAATGCCAGGGTCCCTGGGGGCACAGACAATGTGAGGCCTTGTGCTGTCCTGGCGGGCAAGAGCAGGGAGAAAAGGCTGGTAGTTTGGGATGTACCCTGAGAAAAGGAGACTGAATCCATTCTATGTACAAGGGAGTCTGGGCAAGAGTCAGGGACAAGGCTGAGAGTGGAGGCCCTGGGCCCTGGGCCCTGGCTCCATGGCACAGGGATCACTTAAATCTGGGCTGCCTGCCGGTCCCCACTAGCTCTTCTCCAAATCTGGCTAGCCCCAGTTCTGACCTGGCCCCAGGGCCTCACAGCTCCTTGCAGAAAGCCCCAGCTCCAGCCAGTTCTGCCAGGGTCCTCCGGCTGCTGCCGGCAGTTTCAGAGAAGGCCTCTCAGACTCTGTGTTCAAGAACCTCAGCTGCCCCCTCCACTCGTGGCAGCTCAAATTTCTGGAGCCAAGCCAAACCACAGAGCCACCAGGGAATGGAACTAGCACATTCCAATAGGGAGAACATTATTCTGCGTGGGGAAATAACGCTCACAGAAGTAGAGGAACTTGCCTAAGGTCACAGTCTTGTGAGTAGAGGTGAGATCTGTGTCCACGTCTATCTGGTTCCAAAGCCTGTCACTGGCCAGGGCACAGAAAAGGGCCCGTGAGTCCTTTCAATGACCAAAGCACTCTGGGACGAGTGACAAGGAGACACGGAAGCTGGTTCCCAGGGTCAAGAGTAAAGCTTCCCTCATATGTCTAACCCGGGGTACCTCGCTCTAATTCCCAGGAGCTCCAGCAGCACTGGCCCCAAGGTGCTTTACTTCGGATGTTTTACTGCACCCATTTGGAAGGCCAGACTCCATGCATGGCCTTTGTCTGATTGTCTGTAAAGAGGAAGCCAGGTCACTGTCTCTTCCCATTCTCCCTTTGCCCCTTTCTACACCCAACATCTAAGGAAAAGAACTTGGTTTACAGGTCCTGTGACCTGGGGAGAGCCAACCACAAGGCAAGTGGCCCAAGAAAGCAGTGACTTTCCAAGGGGCCTCTCCACGGAGACCTGGTTTCTGGTGGGCAGTCCACGGTGGCCTCTGAAGGTGGGGGCTGGGCAGAAGCTGGCGCAGGAGGCTCCAAAGGAATGTCTCCCCCACTGGGGAAGTCAGTAACTCCTTGGGATTTTAACTCAATGAAGGGGGCACCTGAGGTAACCAGCTGCTTCGTGGGGGAGAGGAAAAGCCCTCGTTTTGTCAATGTGTTTGGGAAGAGCAAAGAAGTGGAGTAACCAGCAAAAGCCCTTGCTTTGCGAACCCCATGATCAAGCTGTTCCCTGGAACGTAAATGGCTCAACATGTGTTGAGGGTAGAGACACAGGGAGGAAATGTTGCTGAGACTAAGAAACATCAGAGGCCTCTAGACATGAACCCCCAAATCCCAGAAGTCACCCAGTGCTGACTCTTGTGAAGTGCTTTCATGCACCTTGCTTCCTCCAGTGGAATCCCATGCCCTCCAATTGCCCATGGCATGATTCTGATTTTTCCCTTGCAGCTGCTCTGATCATTCATGTTAAGCCCATGCATACACACACCAATATAAAAAAGCTGGAGGGAGGACACACACTCTGGTACCCACAAAGGGAAGCAGGCCAGTCTTCTGGGCCCATCTGGCTGCTGGGGACTTGTCTGTTGCATTCCACTGATACTTAATGGGCCAGTGCTGGGCCACGGGGACAGTGTGGGACAGGACACACCCATCCTGTCCTCACAGAGCTTCTGGTCTAGGTGCAGATACAAAGGGAAATTACAGGGAGGCATGAGAGAAAACAAAGAGGGCAAAGAGAACGCGAAGGAAACAAGTCTGACCTGTTAAAATAGAGAACAAGAGGCCCATGAAGCAGAAGAGGGTGGCAAGGGTGGCGGAGGGGAAGGCGCAGAGGGCTGAGCGCCAGCCACAGGGGGCTTTGAAGGGATTAGGATTTATTATGAATCTGACGGCAGGGTTTTGAAGAGGGCTGTGTCATGACCTGATTTACGTTTTAAAGTGGGCTCTTGGAGGAATTTTTTAATTTTAATTCCAGTATAGTCAACATACAGTGTTATATTAGTTTCAGGTGTACAAAATAGTGATTCAACAATTCTCTACATCACCCCGTGTTCATCAGGACAAGTGCACTCCTTAATCCCCATCACCTGTTTCACCCATCCCCCACCCACCTCCCCTCTGGTAAACATCTGTTTGTTCTCTATGGCTAAGAGTCTGTCTTTGGTTTGTCTCTCCTTTTTTCCTTTGCTAGTTTGTTTTGTTTTTCAAATTCCACATATGAGTGAGAGCATATGGTATTTGTCTTTCTCTGACTGACTTATTTCACTTAGCATTATACTTTCCAGCTGCATCCACGTCGTTGCAAATGACAAGACTGCATTCTTTTCTATGGGTGAATAATATTCCACTGTGTATACACACCACATCTTTTTTATCCATTCATCGATCAGTGGACATTTGGGCTGCTTCCATAATTTGGCTATTGTAGATAATACTGCAATAAACACAGGGGTGCATGTATCCCTTTGAATTAGTGTTTTTATATTTTTTGGGTAAATATCTAGTAATGTGATGGCTGGATTATAGGGTAGTTCTACTTTTAATTTTTTGAGGAATCTTCATACTGTTTCCCACAGTGGCTGCACCAGTTTGCATTCCCACCAACAGTGCATGAGGGGTCCTTTTTCCCCACATCCTCGCTAACACTTGTTGTTTCTTGTGTTTTGGGTTGTAGCCATTCTGACAAGTGTGAGGTGGTATTTAATCGTGGTTCTGATTTGCATTTCCCTGATGATAAGTGATGTTGGTAATCTTTTCATGTGTCTGTTGGCCATCTGGATGTCTTCTTTGGAGAAATGTCTGTTCATGTCTTCTGCCCATTATTTATTTTTTGGGTTTCGAATTGTGTAAGTTCTTTATATATTTTGGATACTAACCCTTTATTGGATATGTTATTTGCAAATATCTTCTCCTACTCTTCAGGTTGCCTTATAGTTTTGCTGATTGTTAACTTTGTTGTGCCGAAGCTTTTTATTTTGATGTAGTCCCTCCCAGTAGTTTATTTTTGCTTTTATTTCCCTTGCCTCAGGAGACATATCTAGAAAAATGTTGCTATGGCCAATGTCAGAGACATTAGTGCCTGAACTCTCTTCTAGGATTTTTATGG